CACGCCTCTGCCCAGTCTCCATGACGATTCGTTGCCGTCGTCCGAGGCGACAAGTGACGTGTTCGTCACGCTCGCCTCGTCGCAGAGCAGCCAAGTCTCGCAGATGGCCTCGTCGTTTGGCGACTCGGACAGCCGCGGCGGCCTCGTCTCGTTGCAGCCTCGTCGTCGGGCCAAGACGAGCCCCGCGCCTCTGACCGACGACTCGACGTCGTTGCGCGGCCGGACTACAACAGTCTGGCCGGGACTCGAGTTGCCCGTTGCTGTCGCCATGGCAATGGCCGTCTTGACGTCTAGTCCGTCGAGCCAGTCCGAGTGGTATTGGCGCACGGTGACCGATTCGCCGACGCCCGACACCGCCACTTCGCAGGCTCGTTTGAAGATGGCCGAGCTTGACGACGTCTCGACGACTCCACGCCCCAGAAACACGCCCACCCCGACCTCTGGGCGTCCTCCTTCGGTGGCCGCCTCGTCTCGCCCCATTCAACTCGAGGTGGTCCGACAAGCCGACAGTTGTTGGCTCACCTCATTGGCCGAGCTCGAGATGATTCGTCAAGTCTGCCTTGACGACCAGCTTCGGTTGTCCGAGCGGGGGGCCCCGAATGAGCGACATCTGATTGGTCGTAACGAGAAGATGTACTCGACGCGAGAGGATGACGGCGAGACAAAGTGGCGCCGGCAAAGAGGTGAAGAGAGGCGGGAGGAGCAGAAGGCGAGGACGAGGCGGGGGCCGGTTTGCGTCGGTGAAGACGAAATGGGCGACTGGGAGTCGACGTCTGGCCTGTTGGAGGCCAACTCGACGTCCAAGTCGCTCTGGCTGCCGTCCGAAAGGGAGATTCGCCTCCTCCTTTCCGACGAACTGGCACAACTCTGCGCCAAAGAGTGGATTATCCCCTCGCTGCTCCTCGTCCAGGCCCAACTCACCTTGGACACCATCACCTCGGCCAGCTTCACCAGCTTCGTCACGTCGCCATCTCGACCCGCCTCGCCGGAAGCCTCGTCTTTTTTCGCCTCCGAGGCTGCCACATTGTCGGTCGCCTCGATCTCGTTGCCCCCGGCAACTGACACGCTTGACATCGGATCGTGTCTTCTCATCACTCGAACGAGCCGATTCAGCTGTGACGAGTTGCCCTCGGCAACCGGTATCGGTTGGGACGGCGTCGAGCCAGACAGAGGCCAGACTGACCGGTTTTTCGAGACCAGCACCAACAACACTCTGCCTTTTGTGTTTTGTGGCGTCGTCACGCGACAACCGATCGTCATGCCGCCCGGCGATCACGACGACGCCTCCAGTTGCCAGAGCTCGGGCTGCAACAGTGTCCGCAAACACGGCTGGCACTGGCAGCAACTGCAACAACAGCAACGGCCACAGCAACAAGAAACGCCGTCCAGACGGACGGCCCTGCTGGACGTCAGTCTGCGGATGCACGGGGAGACGGTATCACATCAAAGTGGTAGGATGGCCTACGAGTTGAGTGTGGCGCTGACGGAGATGAACATCTTCAATTTGGCGCTGGCCTCCACCAT